AAGTAGACAGGCCTTGCTCGTCCGGCTCGGGTAGCCGTGGTGGAAGCTGGAAGTTTGGAAGCCTCAAACTCTGGGGTGAGCCTGGGTTTAGGGTTTAGGGTTTAGGGTTTAGGGTTTAGGGTTTAGGGGAGGCTGGGACATGTGTTCAAGCAGCTGAAATGGCGTTGAGGTTAAAGGAGACTAAGAGAGGCTTGAAGCTTCCTGTTTAAGGGCGGGCTGGGGTTTAGGGTTTAGGGTTAAGGTTTGATGGTTTAGGGTTTAGGGGTTAGGGGTTAAAGGAAACTACAGGTGGGGAGTTTAGGGGTATATAGGGCTTCTAGAAGGCTTCTATAAGGTATATAGACCTTCTACAAGGCTCCTATAACGGTAACTACCCACGATTAGGACGACGATTTAGGGCTTTTAGGGCTGAGGCTGTAGCTTTTTGGTTTTAAGGTTCAGGGCCCAGGTGTTCGGTTTTCGGTTCAAGGCTTGGCTTCTTGGTTGTAGGTAGGGTTTAGGGGTTTAGGTTTGGGGTGGTTCAGGTTTTGGGGCTTTAGGGTTTAGGGCTTTAGGCTTTAGGGCTTTAGGTTTGGGGTAGTTTAGGTTTTGTGGCCTGCTCTATGTTCCAGCTACCGCGCAAGGTGTGTGTTTTGGGGTGTGCGGATGTTGGATGCTGCTACCTCTTCTACTCTTCGTTTGCTTTCCAGGGCTCAGGGTTTAGGGTTTTGGGGTTCAATGTTGAGGGAAAGGTTCTGGCTCAAGACAGCGTGGATCGTCCCTTTCCTTACCTGTGCCGCCGTGGCACCAGCTTCCTTCGGACTGCAAGATTGCCACGATGAGCCACAGTGATTTTCATAAGGGTTTAGGGTTATGCCGGTTGCCATGTTAAGACATCGCGCAGCTGGAATGTCTTTGGGATTCCACTTGACATTGCACTCCATGCTGACTGAATCAAAGTGACGTCGGTATTCAATTCCGTCGCTACGATCAGATCAGTGGAGGATGGGCTCTCCCCAGGTTTCTCACTACCTGACCGTTCAACCTTAGGGTTTAGGGTTTAGGGTTTTGCGGCTTCTCAGAACTGTATATGCTGGAGGTTCTACATGGGTCTAGATGTCAGGCCGCACTTTATGAACAGACCGACCCAAAGCTGCGACCGGAAACCTACGGAGCATCCCATCGCACTGGCAGGTCTGCAGGTGCAAATATTCACACGTTACAAAGGGGCGCATTTCTGGATTATCTGCCAGAGGATCTGTCCCAGCATTACGATTCCCCAATTCGGACGACAGCCACCCTAACTTAGCCTGCGCTCCCGGTTGAATTATTCCGCAATGCTGTCGAGGGGAGCGACAAGAGGCGATCCGGGCTTTCCATGCTGCAAGCAGGTGTCAGTGTTCTTATCATGCTCCGTTTTGTATTGGCGAGTGGTCACAGATATCCTTTGTGCGTCGAGTGAGCTACATTAACGATTATTTGATACTATGGGGCACTCCTTCGTGACTAATAAGATTTTTCTTGCCGTGGCAGGAAAATTTACTTTGGTCCTGCCATCGTCTCACCCGACGAGGGTAGTGAAGAGCCCAGTATAGAGTTGCCCGTATGTAGTTTTCTTGGGCATGTTTCCCGTACCTTAAGGTTTCACCGCCTTCTTAAGTTTTCCCTGTCGGTCAGTCGGCTAGTCTCATCGAAAGGGCTCCTGCCGAACAGTATCACTTGTGGGCTTCTGGTGTACGACTTAGAGAAAGAGAAGCAGAGGGCGATAGATAGTGTTCAGGGAAGGGCAATGACCAGATCAACAGGGAACAGCTAGTTTTCTCTTCAAAAGAACGGCTTGTGTCTCGAGCTCTGAAAGCGGTTGATTTGTTGTGCTTTTGGCTGTGTATGCAAACTGCAACAAACATGCCGAACTGTTTTCAACGTTTTGATAACAAGCCAAGGAAGAGGATCCGCCCCTTGAGGGAGTTGTACAAGCTTGCCATTATGATGGCCACTTGCTTTCGGGCGCTCCTCTGGTGCTTCTTGCTGTGCTTCGTAGTGATGACCGTCTGGGCCATGTTAATCGTGGAAGTGGTCAGTCCATTCGTGAAGGAATCTTTACCTGACATAGCAAACTTCCCAGGGTGCCACTCCTCCTTCACTGGCGTTCAAGTGTTCTAATCGTGCAAGTGTTGCTGTTTTTAAAGTAAACATGCTTAGCTTTACTGGCGGAAGCTGTTCAACCCGATTGCTATAAATTTCTCAGCGCGTACTCTGTCCAGGAGATGCACGCAGACATGGACCGCGACTTTTTCAAGGCTTGCCATCCACAGTGCACAAAGGCAGTCTCTACCGCCCTGTGGCATTTGAAATCACCTTAAGTTCGGAATGACAACAGACGCCCCACGCCCAATCATCGACCATCAAACTTAAGCCGTACGCTCTAGACCCGAGGACGTGAATTTTTAGGGCAAGTTCTGTTTATGTGACGAGCATGTTGTCGACCCTAGCAAAGGTAATGGATGCAAACCTGTTGCTTTTCAAGACAGTTATCGCGGGCGATGCTTGGGGTGAGATTGCTGTTCCCGTCATTCAGGACACTTGCTGCTTTCGTTTTTGGTCTGTTTCTCCATCCAAGTCCTTGTCCCGATCCCCCTGCCATGTTGTTGATTCCTGGCATGTAGCAGTGCAAAAACACTCAGTAAGCCTGAGTTTCAGGTCTGGCAAAAGTTAGCTTCAGCTCCCGTACCGGCCAGTTTCGATCCGTAAGCCCGTTAATAAGGCCCGAAATTGAAGCCATCTATGAACCCACGACCAGCTTGCTTGCAGTGCTTTCACGCAGGAGCATCCAGCAACTTTCATCATTTTCATTGGCTCTTCATTGACACTGGTCTTTGGAGTTTTGAACCTCATTGCCGCCATGCAGCAAACAAGCCCTATATCCTAATTCCTAAGCCTAATACCCTCAAACCCTAAACGTACCAAACAGACGGGTTGTCTCCGCGGCTGACGCATAAATAACTTGTGCGGGGTCCTCGATTGTAGCAGAAGTATGATTCTGCTGAAGAGAAGGTATGGGGTGCATTTCGAAAGTATGTATTTTCGGAGTAGGGTTGGAGCATATCGTGAACTACATCATGTTGTATCATCAGTTGCTGGAATATCCGTGCTAGAATGTAGAATAATTCAAGATCGTGTCGTTCTGTACCATACCCATACCAATTGTATTCGTTTTCCCGTTGTACCTGTCTACATCATACTGAGATTTCTAACAGTGCTATACCAAGGTGGCCGTGGTGGTGGATACCTTTGCAGAATCTCGGCAGAGCGATGTTCAAAGCCTGGCAGAGGAGATGGAGGATGAGATCGAACATGATCGACGCCTTACTGCACTTCTTAGCAGCCTTGAAGTCAGATTGTTTCATAAGGTTTGTGATTCAGGGTTAAGAACACTTATTCGAAGACGTGTACTCCAGCATCTGGTGTGAGAGACGGTCGAAGCCCTCCTAACACCCCAAGACCTCCAAGACACTCCAACATCCAAAACCTTCTTAAACCTTATTTCCCCAGATTCTATACCCCAAACTTTCCGAAAAACCCTAATCCCCTAAACCCCTAAACCCCTAAACCCAGAAACCCCTAAACCCTGAGCCCTTAACCCTAAACCCTGAACCCGAAACGGCACTCTAAGGAGCAGCCCTGGGGAAGCTTTTTGCCCGAATGGACCGAGATAGGAGCGGAAAGCTCCTGGGTCGTTGTCAAGAAAAGCTCTTTGAAACTGCTTGGGTAGGGTTTAGGGTTTTTGGTTTAGGGTTTAAGGTTTCCTAAGTAGTATTAGGGAGACCCCTCAAAGGGGACGCTTCTGAACCCTACTTCGGGCTCTCTTACAAGGGACCTCATTGAGAGGGTCTGTATCCCCAAGGGTCCCCCTTATCCTAACTCCTAAGGTTCACGGTTGAGGGGTTTAGAGGTTTGGGGGTACTGGAGGTTTAGGGAAAAGAGGGGGGCATTCAATTAATCCCTAAATCCCAAGGCCCCAAACCAAAGCCCCACAAGCCCTATACCCTACACCCTAAACCACAAAAGCCCAACAAACCCTAAACCCTACACCCTAAACCCCAAACCCAAAAGCCCAACAAACCCTAAACCCTAAACCCTAAACCTGCACTAAAACCCTAAACCCTAAACCCTAAACCCTAAACCCCAAACCCCAAAACAAAAGACCCAGGCTCACCCTCTCCGAGCTGATGGAAGGGGCGCAGAACGACTCTGAGTTTCGGGGGCGGCTCAGGGTCATGGACGCCGGGTGCTTTTGAGGGGTTTAGGGTTTAGGGTTTAGGGTTTAGGGTTTAGGATTTAGGGTTTAGGGTTTAGGATTTAGGGTTTAGGGGTTCGGTTTAAGGGTTTAGGGTTCGGGGGTTTGGGGGGTTTAGGATTGAGGGTTTAGGGTTTAAAGGTTTCGGGGGTCTAGGGGTTCAGGGGTTTAGGGTTTAGGGGTTCGGGGGTTTGAGGGGTTTAGGGTTTGGGGTTGACGGACGCAGGGCGTAGACACAGAGGGTTTTGTACAGGATTTTTGTAGGGCATTAGAGCAGAAGAGTTTGCTATAGTTTTAGTTGGAACACACGGCCTTTACAATAGTCTTACATGCTTTGTTGTGTTTGGCTTTTTGAGATAAGTGTTTCAACAACTTTTTTCATTGGCTTCTTTTGGAAGGATTTCTATAATTCGGTTCGGGGGTTGTGCTTCAGGGTTTCGCGGCTGGGAGGTCGGTTTAGGGTTCAGGGTTTAGGGTTTAGGGTTTTGTCGGCTTTAGAGTTTCTGCAGATATCAGATCGTCTTGATGTTTCTTTGCTGTCCAGCTGTCAACAGTACCTGAACAAGATATTCCCTGAACCCTAAACCCCTCATCCCTAACCCCATGCAGCCTACGACCTGAACCGTTTCCTGCCCAGGACATTGACGAGCAAGACTTGGAGTCACTTTTCTACATGATCGATGAGGATCAGTCTGGAACCATCGATGTGGCCGAGTTCATCGGCCCTCTTAGCCGGTGGGCACATGATTCCAAGACCGCCCCCCGGTTTATCAAGTACAACATGATCCAGACGATGAATCTCCAAGAGGAGCTCTACGATCTATCTGTCGAATGCTTCCAGCAGCTGGCCGCCAAGATTGATGGCGTGGCCCGGTCAGTCGCTGAACTGAGGCCACCGCTTTTCTCCGCTGGTGGCCAGGCTCAGGGGCAGGAAGACCTCCGAGGCGACAGAGATGCGGCACATCGGAAGTCAGACTCCATGGCCTTTGAGAAGTTCACTGGGGATCTGCAAGAACACCGACGGAACCCGGATCCTTGACTGTAGAGCTGGCCAGGCGTTGCCTTTTTTTTCTTGAAGGTTGCCTGGATCCCAACCCTAGCCCCAAACCCTAAACCCTGAACCCTAAACCCTAAACCCCAAACCCTAAACCCTAAACCCTATAAGCCCTGCACCCTAAACCCTAAACCCTAAGCCCTGCACCCTAAACCCTAACCCTTAAGAAGCGACCAAGGATGGACCTGGGATCGATAGCCCCCCTGGTCCGGCTCTGCACTTCGATGCCGAGGCGGAAGTGGTTCAGCCGCCGCCTTCGCCGCAACCCGTGGAGTTTCTTGCGATTGCGGCCCCTTGATCCGGGTTTAGGGTTTAGGGTTTAGGGGTTTAGGGGGTTTAGGGGGTTTAGGGTTTAGGGTTTAGGGGGTTTAGGGTTTCTTGCGGCCCCTTGATCATGATCAGGGTTTAATATAGGGGCCTCTTCCTAAATAATTAGAATAGGGTTTGGGGGTATATTTTACTATAATTATAACAAGGAGCCCTCACAATATAGGTAAATATTTAGGCCCGGTTCAAACCCTTAGCCCTAGGCTTGTGGATCAGGAGTTTTGCAGTTCAGGGGTTGAGGGTTTAGGGGTTGAGGGTTTAGGGGTTTAGGGTTTAGGGTTTAGGGGGTAGGCTTTAGGGTTAAGGGCTTGAGGGTTTAGGGCTTTAGGGTTCAGGTGTCTAGGGTTTAGGGGTTGAGGGTTTAGGGGTTTAGGGGTGGGTCTAGGGTCTCGGGTTTAGGGAGCCTTCGACTGGGCTCTGTTAAGGGCGCCGTAGTTGAAGTTATGATGACTTGAGATGCTTGAAGGGTTCTGAAGGAGACAAAAGGGTTGAGGTCAGGGAATGTTTAAATGTTGCTTCCATAGTTGGGAACAATAGTAATGATATTATGGTTTCTTACTGTGGTAACTTGAACTACATTCCTAAACAAGAATTTAGCCGAGAGGCGGGCGGGCAGCCGATGGTGAACGTGGAGGCAGCGTTGGCGAGCGCAATGTCCCGGCTTGAGGTCAAGTTGGATCTGATGCTGGCAGATGATTGGGTGAGACCAAAGGTGCCCTCGCAACCCCGTGACCCAGGAGCGGGCGAGGAGGATCTGGCTTCCTTTGACAAGGAGTTGGAACGCAGGAAAAATGCCAGGAAGGTGCATCATAATGACGGCTTCCGGAGGATGTACATGATGGAGCCCACACGCACAAAAGAGGCTTGGCTGTCGAGTGCAACATTTTCGACAATTCTTCTGAACTCCAAGAGAACGAGGCTGCGGAAAGTCTTTTCAGGCTCTGCAGTCAGTGACCAGCCCCTAAACCCTAAACCCCTAAACTCTCAGGACGAGGATCACCCTCACCGGAGAAGTAGCGCGAGATCGTCGCACCGGGAGGAAAGAGTCGCAATGTCGTTGAACAATCAGGATAGTCCTGTTTCCATCGGAGACTCCCACGCCAAGCCAGCCTCACCCAGTTCTCAAAGCGGACTAAACCGATAGCTCAGGCTGTTTTCCATTGGCTGCTGTTGTGGCCAGGAGATCTTTCAGCGATCGATATAGACCCTAAACGTCTTCAGTGCAAACGCACAGAAGCAATGCGCCTCGTCCGATCGCAAACAGGAGCGAACCCTGTGCTATGCAGGAGCCTTTCACCCCAAACCGTCAACCCAAAACCCTAAGCCCTAAACCCTAAACTTTACACCCTAAACCAAAACCCTAAACCCTAAACCCTAAACCCTGAACCCAAAACCCTAAGCCCTAAACCCTAAACTCTACACCCTAAATCAAAGCCCCAAGCCCCAGACACTTACACAGGGCAGAGTTGACATCCCAAAAGTCTGAAGCCCCTCTGGGAATTGGGAGGTGCAGCAAACCGAAACCCGAACCCGAAGCCTGTAGAACCTTTATAGACTCAGTGAAGCCTTCTAGAACCCCTATAGGCTAAGTGAAGCCTTCTAGAACCTCTAGAGAGCCCGCCAGGCCCCGATCATCAACCCCCGAAGTCTTGAGGCCTGGATTTCCTGCAAAAGCTCTGTGCTGCAAGCAGGGTTTAGGCTTTAGGGTTTAGGGCTTAGGGTTTAGGGTATAGGGCTTAGGGCTTAGGGCTGAGGGCTTAGGGCTTAGGGTTTAGGGTTTAGTCTTGGGGGGATAGTGTAATCTAATTGTGATCCTAAACCCCAAGCCCCAAACCTTAAACCCTAAACTCTGAAACCCCAAACCCTAAACCCCAAACCCTAACTAATACCCTAAGCCGACCATGCGAGGGTCGGACATGATTCATGGAAAGCCTTAGCAGGCGTCGTCCGAACAGACTACAACCCTGAAGGCGCCACTTTACAAGCCCACCTCGCAAGCCCAACCCCCCCCGTGCCCCAAACCCTTAAAACACTAGAGCCCTGAACCCAAAATCCTAAAGCGCCCCAAACCCTAACTCCTAAAGGCCCAAGCCCTACTTGGAGGATCCTGGGACGTAGTAAATAGGGTTATAAGTGCCCCAACTGGAGTGATATTTAAGGGTCTAGGGTTTAGGGTTTAAATAGAATCTATAGTTACCATATTTATACACCTAATTACTCAGTCCCATGATCCTCTAAGTAGAGTCTAAGCCCGGTCACCGCTTCCCCGGGGAAGGTCGGCTCCTGGCGCTTTCCCGGAGCGCCTGGTCGCGGAAGGAAAGACGGTGCTTTGCAGAGCCTGGGCTTAGGGTTTAGGTAAAGGTTTAGGGTTTGGGGTTTGGGGTTTAGGGTTTAGGGTTTAGGCTTTAGGCTTTAGGGTACAAACCCTAACCCTAAACTCTCAGGTTTGAGGGTTTAGGGTTGAGGGATCCCTTGTGAGTCTTCGAGCTTGTGGAGCTTATCCTAAGAGCTAAATCCGCAACCACATGCGCCCTAAACACACCCCTGCAAACCCTTAACCCCAAACCTAAACCCTAAACCCTAAACCCTAAACCCTAAACCCTAAACCCTAAACCCTAAACCCTAAACCCCGAACCTAAGCCCTTAACCTTGAACCGGAGGCCCCCAAAGCCCTACACGCCCTGATAAAACAAAGCATTGGGTCTTTGTTCGGTTTCCTTACACGGATCCGAATATTTTGCGGTTATAGAACCAGGGTAGTTTGATCAGGGTCCTACATTAGGGCTTCGGGTTTCAGGTGTACGGCTGTGAAAGATTTAGAGTTTAGGTTTCAAGGTTTCCAAACTTTTTCTGGGCTAGGCACACTCCTGGTTTACCCATACGCCTTCCTGCAACTTCACCCCTAAGCCCTAAACCCTAAACCCTAAACCCTGAACCCTAAACCCTAAACCCTCCAGTCTGGAAGAAGCTGCCGGGGGCTGTCAACGTGAAGATCCTGAAGCCCAAGGTCGTTTCCGACTCACAGTGAGTGTTGGGACGCGACAGACGCTTGCATAGGGCCGCCCTTAAAAGGAACACCCCTAAACCCTAAACCCTACACTCTAAACCCTAAACCCTAAACCCTGAACGCTAAACCCTAAACCCTACACTCCTGCAAGAGAGCAAAGAATCCAATGGCAACCGTACTTGCAAGCCTGCTTAGGCCCTCCCATACCCAAAAGCCCTAAGCCATGAATTCTAAATGACAGCTATAGGGGCCTAAATAATTACTCAAGTTATTTGGGGGATCTTTATTATATTTATAGTATAATGGGCCCCCAAACCCTATTCTAATGATTATGGCCCCTACATTAAACTTAAACAGTAAGCTTCAAGCCTAAAGCCTCGGACATCTGAATCTGCGGTGGCTGCTTTCAAGCTTGACAATGATGCTAGAGAGGATGGGGGGATGCTCCCGAAAGGCCTAAACCCTAAACCCTTGCAGCCCAGAACTCCACTCTAAACCCTAAACCCTAAACCCTAAACCCTAAACCCTAAACCCTAAACCCTGAATCTCCTGCTTCCTAGAAGCATCCCTAGGAGGTCCTTCTCCAACCCAAAAATCGATTTATTTTCCTACGTATCTCGGCTTTAGGGTCTAGGGTTCGTATCTACCTATCTATCCGTGTATCTAACTGTCTATCTATCTATCTATATATATATATATATATGTACATACGCGCGTATAGCGCAAATTTAGCCCTCCCACCCCGTAAGAAAGCCTCCCAAGAAGGGTTGAACTTTACAAAGCATCCTCGAAGCGATGGCACTCGCCGTGGACGGGGTTGGCAGGAGCCTCTGCAGTGACCCAGCAGCATCGGGGAAGGTTTGAAGTTTCCAAGTTCCGGACCAAACCCTTCAACTCTAAGTCCCATACCCAAAACCCGAAACCTTTAAACCCTAAATCCCAAACCCAAGAACCTAAACCTTTAAACCCTGAATCCCAAACCCAAAACCGAAATCCGAATCCCCCCCAACCTTAAACCGTGATTTGTGTACAGGTCGGGTATTGGAGGCTTCGTATTTTTTTGGCTTTGCGATGTGTTTAGCCTTGTACTTACAAGAGGGTTTTGTAGGAAGCTTTGGGTTTCTACAGGACCGTGTAGGTTTTGTAAGGGTTTAGGGTTTAGGGTTCAGG